CACACACACACACACACACACACACACACACACACACACACACACACACACAAAAAGTGAGAGAGAGAGAGTAGCAGACAAGAAGAAAGGTCATTTATCACTCCCTGGTTACCAGTTTGCATGATAACAAATAAGGCAAATCTATGCTTTATGATATTCGCGTTATGGGTCAAAATCAGTCTGCTGGGTAAAGGTGACCGTCCTAGCGCTGTAGTATAAAATATATTATTTCATTTAAAAGGGCCATTTTATGATAAATTACAACTATTTCTCATTATCGGACTCTATCTGTGTAGCTTTGCATGATTCACAGCTCAAAATAATTCGAGTTTGCCTTATACTGGGTTTTAGTGCAGATTCAGCCAATTCAGGCCAACTTTCACCTAATTGATTACCCTTTGCAACCAAAAGGTTTGAACAACAGGTGGGTGGGGCTTCTCTTGTGTGTCTGAGATTATAATATTATGAAGCTCTGCTGTTATTGAGGCCATACTGAGCCAAAAGTAGACAAAACACTCTAAAACTGAGTGTTTAAAGCAGGGGTCTCAAACTTGTAGCCTGGGGGCCTATTGCAGCCCACGCCCACGTAACCCCTACTTGATGTGAAGAAGTGGCCCATGAAGTTACTTTTTTTGTTAGGGAGGATTTGTTTGTTGTTGAGTGCAATGTTAAAATAAGTTCTTTAAAAAGCAAAACATTACGAGCAATATGAGCAGGAAGCACAAACACGTTGAGGGATTGGCTGTGTTTCTTCAGTGAGAGACTTATTTGTAAGGAAAACAATTTTCACTAGCAGTCAAAAACGAATGTGTACACTTATGTCTGCATTTTTATTTTGTTAAAAAGGAATAAAATTATAGCATGTCTGGCCAGAAAGAGTTCCAATTTGTTTATTTGGTAGTTCACCGAAAGGCTTCAGATAGTTTGCAGTTTTGTCTTGTTATATAAGATCTGAAATTTTAAAAAACAAACACAACTCTACTTTTTGGAAATATTTGTGGGTGTTTTCTTGTTTGTTTTTTTCATACTACCTGAACACTAAAGTGGCCCTCTAATGTGATGACAGTGCCAGCAGTGGTCCATAGCTCATTTAGGTTTGAGACACCTGGTTTAAAGAGTTTTTGGCTTACAGGAAGTACTTTTGTCCTTGTTTAATATGAGCGCCCACCAATGTAGCCGTATATATATGACAGAAAATAAGGAAGGGCATAGTAGTGGACTGTGTAGGAATAGTGTAGCAAAAGCTTCTAAACACAACACAACAGGAACAGCCACACAGCGCATGCATTCATAAATGTACTCGCACTTCTCTTAAGAAATAAGCGCGCACACAAATCCTGTTTATTTCCGTTGTACTAACACATCAACGTACAGTACTCATGCCCAGGCGCCCTAGGCCTAAAGTTGACATAAATCTATTTGAATTTCAAATTAAAGGCTTCCAGGTTGAAAAAAAACAACCTTATTTTGTCCAGATTTGGATGGTGTAACTAGTTTCTTCTGTGGCCCTCGGTATCCACTGTGCTCGCCATCTTAAAAAGCTTCAAAGTCTGAAATATTTCTTCCTTATCTAGTGGAAGAAGATGAAATGCATTGTGTAAGCCCTTACGGCCACCCAAATAAGTAAAGGCCTAAAAAGCCATATATATGTGTAAGAGTTGCTAATATTATGATTTGATATCAGATCAGTTGTTAGATGTTATGTGTGGTCCAATGGCTGTAACAATATATAATGGGGTAGTCCAAAAACAGAAACATACAGTGCACACGCTGTAACATAATCCTGACTCTGACAGCTCAGATTTCTCTTGCAACTCGTTCTAGTTCTTCAGTTTTCAGCACTTTACTGAAGTCAGAATCATCTTTAGTCAACTCCCATTGCACTAATGACTGTCACACATCAAAGAGGAAGCCCAGGTGGAACAGTGTTTAGACCTAGATAAGATCAGGTTTTTAACTGTGACAAAAGAGGATTAAAATCCCACGTCTGAGCCGGGAAACAAGGATAACATTTAAATGAAGAAACAACCAAGGAGCGATTTACAGCAGCTGGTAATACATCTAAAAGCAGAGTCGACCCTAAGTTATGTATTAATACATTTTAATTTCCTGTGTGTTTAATGATAAACCAAAAGTTTCTTGACATTTGTTTGTAGTTTAAAATACTCCACAACAGGCCTCTCCGTGACTCCTACTACACCTAGCACTACCATTGCTGCGTGGTAACTACAAGCTCTGAAACCTGAAATGCTCTTTCATAACACCCCGAACCTCCAAGGGAAATGCTTGTCATTCACCCAACTGCAGAGAAAATATCAAGGCAAGGATTCCCAGACACTAATGTTCGCTTTCTTTGGTATTAACAGTCATAAATCTGAACTTCCACTGCCACTTACAGAGCTGCGTATGGACAAATGTATGCTCATTTATCCATTCATATTCTTAGTCACCTATCCAATTTAGGTTTGCAGAAGGAGAGAAGTGGGGTACACCTAGAACATGTCACTAGTGCACATCTCCACTAAAGTAAGAGAATGATGCTTCTCCCTGACTGCAGGCGAAAGAGTTATACCTACCTATAAAGTACAAGAGTTGATTTTTGCTGATTTTCAGCAATAATTTAAGGTTGGAAGTGCTACTGAGCACAATCTGCACATGCAAGAATTGTTTATTCAGCATATGTCACTGTGACCTGGAGAAATCATAGACTGTATAGAAGATGGGTGTAGCCTGTGTGTTATCACCAGCTGGTTAGCGTTACCCTCGAGCTAACTGTTTCTCCTGTCACTGTCGTGATGTTTTGATTCTGGATGTAATGAGTTAGAGCTGGATCTAAGTGCAGGCTCAGTAGCAGTTTTCTAATTGAGTCGCCCCCTCCTGGGAATTACAAAGCATGCACGTTGCACACTTTTCAGACCTGGAAGCTTCCTCTTTCCTACTGTCTATGAGAGCAACAGAATAAAAGGGCCTATGAAAACATGAATCACCCTCTGTGCTATTTCTTTTTTTAATCACAGTCAATACTTCACTTTGGTCTGTTGCAAACAGGTGTGTGTATGTGGGTGCACATTTCTTGTGAAGGATCTATCTGATGATTGTGTAGACAGACGGTCGGGCAGGGAGCAGGTTGACAAAGAAGAGTTTTAATATCACTTTATCATTTCCACAATATATCCATGCCGGCGCCAGACACCAGCACAGGATATGCAGAAGGTGATGCTATCGTCTGTCAGTCGCTTACACAGCGATATGCCACTTTCCTCCCTATTGTTAGACAGACGTACAAAAGTATGTTCATGCAGGAACAGACTGATAAAGGAAAAAAAAGGACATGAGCATGAAAAAGCACAGAATACAAGAAGATTTCTACATAACTGCATACATTCAGATGAACCCAATAAAGGTTCACTTCCTGTTTAGTTCATCAAATATACAGATGTGATTCAGCCTTTATGATTGGATTATGAATAGCACAGGAACTACTTCAACACTGAAGAAACAATGGCAGAAAAAATAGATAAGAGTGATTCATGCTGCCCATCAAAATCCGCAGAATGAAACTTTGCTTCATTTAGCTGTCCATTATTTTTTGTTCTAAATGCAAAAAAAAAGAAAAAAAAGAAAAGAAAGGAAACTGTGTTATTGACAATCAAGTTCCCATCCTGATTAATTGACATGCTTTCAGAAGTGACTTAAACTTCCCTCCACACAGGGCGATGGCCAGACTTTCATAACCAAGAATGGAAAAGTGAAGTGACTAA